GTACACTCTTCGGCGGCGGCAGTGTCGGGCTTCCCCCCACCCCGTGGGCTTGGTCCGGTGGGGAGTAGTATACACAGTGCTCGCACTCAGTATACCCAAACTACACGCGTATTATTATACCTGTATAGTACATGAATTAATGATAATAGTCGTAGTATAGTCGTAGTAGTGTACGTATATGTATAGGTATATATACGTAGTAGTGCAGCGTACTGCAGTCGTAATGATAATAATAATAATAATAAAAATAATAATAATAATAGTGATAATAACGAGAAGAAAAGGACCGAAGAGTTCCGAATGGTTGCACGCACCTCCTCCACCCGTCGTCCGCGTCCGGTCGCGGTTAGCTGGCTTTCGTATAGTAGTAATAATAATAATAATAATAATAATAATAATACGAGTGGGTGGCGGGCGGCTGCGGCCGACCGGAGGAGACGACGACGACTGCTTCTACCGCGGCTCCCTCCTGCCCACCGCACACGCAGTCGAGTCCTGCCTTGTATATACGCACCGGAACGTCCGTCGTCGCAGCTTCGATCCTCGTCCGACTGGTATCGCATATACATACACACATATGTTATTATATTTATATACATCGTGCGTGAGTACGATATATATAATACTATATAGTATATACGCATTATATATTATAATATAGTGGTTGAGCGTAGTGCGTACCTGCACCGCGGTATTCACCGCACACGCGGTGCATATACCGCGCGGGAGAGAACTACAGTAATATTAATAATATATATACACGTAATAATATTCTATGTAGGTTTAAGGAGAGGAGGAATAGAGAAAACTCGCCGGGTATAAAACGATGCGTACATATTATTATTATAACCAGTTTCTTTTATACTCGGAATATATTATTATATTATTCGTGTGTACAGTACGTGTGTGCATATGAACGCATGCCGTATGTATTATAGACGCGTCTGGTACGATAAGGTCGTTTTATACCCGCCGAAAGGTTTTCCGCTGAGCGTGTACGCGTGTATGTGAAACAATGACTTTGGGGTAAAAATTCGCTTTCCCGACGCATTATTATATAATATAGCTAGCCGCGACTTATAACGACAGCATTATACGCGCGTTAGCGGAGGCCCACGTAGAATATATTATTATTATAATATTGTATTATATTATGGTAAGAGCAAATATCATATTATTATTATTATGAACAATATGCAGGGTGTGCCGTTGTGTGTGCGAGGCGATAAATGAAAAGCCTCCGCCATCGTAATGACGTTCGTAAAATATATTATTTATTATTATGTGCTCACTTGTGTATGTGTGTGTGTGTCGAAGGTTCGTCGTCGCGTATTGTGCAGCCGAGAGAGTCGTACGAACGAAAATAAAATGCTAGCCGGAGTGAATTACTATAATACCGGCGAACAGCGTACCTACTACCTACCTATAATAAAATATATAATATAAATAATAATAGCCATAGATATACGCTGTATTATTTCATGATTGTTGTATAGTTGCCGACTGCATTCGGACTGACGAATAAAAGGACGTTTCGAGTGGCCTGCGAGGTTTATTTTTTATTATTGTTATTTTTTCTAGTATCGTTTTAAATATATTTTTTTTAAATTTTTTTTTTTGTACTTCTCTCATTCTGTTTCCCAATACAATGCGTACCGTTGTGTCTAACGAAAGATTTTTCTCGTTTCCATAATGCATTCGCCTATACAAATACCCGTTTTTCAGTCGGACTAACTTGTGTGGCCCGAGCCTTAGACATTATACGCCACTGCTATAGGCGAAAAATGGGGGGGGGTGCTTGGGGGATGCCAAGCCCCCCCCCAAACCTAGGACATACAATTTTAATATGCTATATTGCAAATGGTCTGCTTGCCCTTAATATATTCAGCCCCCCAAGTCAAAAGTTGAAATTGCGCCTATAGCCACTGCAGACTTTCAGACGCTCAATCTATAAATACGATTGCGTTTATTATTTCTTACACAGACGACTATTATAATAGTACATATTTTGTACATCGACCCATCTGCTGCCCTTTTGTTCAAATTCCTTTTCTGTTGACTAGACAAATAGACAGTATGATTTGATATTGGTGTATTAGTTTTTTTTTTCATTGTCCGTATACACGGCAAGACACGGAAAATCTCCTCCTATGTTCGTCTACCAACGCAGATAAGTCGGCAATCGTGTAACAACAAATAAAAGTCTTCAAATGAAAGGTTTTAAATAATTCTAAATACCACGAAATTCTAAACAGTTTAAACAAGGTATAGGTACTAAGGTACAGTACTACTGTAGATACATTAATAAATCAATTTACAAAATACGGTTTCGTACCTATAATGGTGTCCGTAGAACTTTGTCATGTTGAGGACATCTGACTTGTTGAAGAAGATTGAATGGAATTGTTTCCGGGAATTCAAAGAGTCAAAAGAGTGACGTCCTAAAATATAAAGAAACACAACCGCCCAACGGTAGCTGCACCGTTCAAACGCGTTGAAAATGTACACTCGTCGGCTGACGACGACTATCGAGCAGAGCAGCAGAGGGATAATCGAACAATAATAATAATAATAATAATAATAATAATGATAAATCGTGGTATTTAGACCGGTGGCACATACCGCAGTGGAATGTTGTTCATAAATAATCGACTGGATTAAATAATTTTATTTGCTCGCCGTCGTTCAGTTTTCACGGTTAACTCTACATGTAAACCTGTTTGTGTATAATATTATCCACACATCGCGCCGTACAGATAAATATCTCTGAAAATAAAACGCTATTACCTATATAGATATTACGCTTCGGCTTCGGTACGCGGTTTACGTTATATATATTATATTATTATTGTATATTATGTACAATGTAGGTAATTATTGTTGTTTTTTTTTGCGTCAATAGCTTCAATTAGTTGCATGACCGTATACTTAAACGGCAATTTGTCCTATAAATAAAAAAATATAAAAAATCGTTTAAAGTACTTTAAACACACACACACACACACACCGGGAGAACAATATAGTAATATAATATAATATACTGTTAATATGAAATTCATGTTACGTAACGAGTTCGATAATGCGTAATTACAGCAGCAACGGTATATTGTGTTCTTCATCGCGATTTGTTTCGGTTTCAGAAAATACGCTCTTCGTCGATATCGGAATCGCCGCTGTAAAAAATAGGCTGTAACGCCGTACTCATACTACACTTTTCTGTATAATTCGAGATTTATAAAATATCACCGTCGGCTACATACTATTATGGACGTCGCATGGCCCTCCGAAGTCAATCGGTATAGGTTCCTACGAGTAATATATTGAGTTTTTGATAAATAATAATAATAATATATAAAAATAAAACAACATTATACGTAGAAAATACACTGCAATTCTCTTACACGTCACAAATATTATGTTATAGTTGTAATTCGTTAACGCCACGCGGCGCGCTTCCTGGAAACCGTTTCCCGTCGTCGACCGTGAGAAACAGGATAGAGAAACAAATATCCTGTCGACGGGGTCGCCGAGCGCGTGTATATAGAGAGGTATAGCCGGTCCGCGTCCTGCGGCAGTGCAATGTGAGCGTATAGGTACATATTATTATTATTGCAGCAGTGATCCGGCCGGTATATATAGGTATATTTTAGGTATAATACGCGTTTCACTGGATCCGACTGCATAGTTCCTTAGTTCTTTCAGTCCCCTCGACGAAAAAGTTAAAATAGTACACGTTAGGCCATACAGGCCCCACACCATTATACTATTATGTGATTCTATGAGGACGCAGCGACGTTCGTGTGTTCAGATTTAAAGAAATACTTCATAATATTGTTACATTATGTATATATTACCGGCAAAGTGTTAAATCTGGTATTATATAGAAATCCTAGGTATTCTATAGAATGCCAAAAATGAGCAGGAAAAGTATAAAATATATACAATAACTAGATATTCTATAGATTACCTAACCTCAAGCAGGAAAAGTATATAATTAATATAAAACTACACCTAACCAGTAACCTTTGAAATCAATGATTAATACTTATCTTGACAAATATCTTATCGCATTTAGGTACAACACGACGTTTGTGATGTATTATCGTCGTTCCTAAGTAATGCTATTATTATGTTGTTCGTGTATACGGGAAAATTTAAAATACGTCTTTAAAGTCTCTTTGAGTGTCACTCTTTGAGTGTTTGTCGTGTTGTCGTGTTGAGACACCTTTATTATCAAAATTTCTGAACGTTTCTATACCGAATTAAGTAAATGTCGGAAAAATTCGAAAAATAGAGTTTATTTATCGAATGAAAAATATCGTCGAATATTACACGAGTTACTGCTGCTTAAAGATGGTAAAAAGAAAAAGAAAACATCACTTGTTTACGGGATGCATCAAAGGTATTTATTGATTTTATGCTTTTTTTGAAGTTGTAGTAAGAAATATTATGTTATGTCAAAAAGTTTTTTACAGAAGATTAATAATTTATCTTATATTTTTAAAATATTAATATTAATTACAAAATATGAAAAGTAATAATTGTTGTAAAAATTTGACTTGATGAAATAATATAATATAATTTTATTTATAGGGTAATTATAATTATGAGTTGATAAGTATAATTATGATGGGTATAAAAAGGTTAGGTACCCAGTACCTGTACATATACAATTATATCATACCAATTACCAGTGGATATTTAAGGAATCATCACTGTACGAAATTAAAAAAAAAAATTCACTCAACATATTATGAACTTATAAAAAACTTTTCAGTATTAATAATAATTCATAAAAATAGTTATTATATTGATTATTCATAGAAATTTACAGAATATATCGAAGAAAGGCTAAAGAAAATCTTGAAAATCAAGCAGTTAAAATGAAAACATGGTCAGATCAAAAACTTAAACCGTCTGAAGTAGGTGCTACAGTTAGAGTTCCAGTTTCCGATGTGGACAAAGGTCGCGGAGTTGCTTGAAATATTTTAGCTGTTGTTATGGAGGTAAACATAAAATAATATATATTATATAGTAATTCAACCGTTTATATTTTATTATTTTAAGATCATAAAAATATTTTTGCAGGTAACAGTTGATGGGTATTATAGATTAGGGACTAAGGAAGGGCTTTTAAAATCGTTATATTCCAGGTCTCAATTCTCAATATGCCAAAAAAATTTAATAACAATTGACCAAGTTCCAAGAGAAAATACATTTGCTTTACGCACAATTGCAACTCAACAATCTACAGGAACTGGACAAGGTTTTATAAAATGCACATGCAAGACAAAGTGTCAATCCGAAAAATGTTTATGTGTAAAGAATAATATTTTATGCAGTTCAACATGCCATTCATCATCTGTATGCTGTAATAAATGAATAATAAGCAATAAATAATAATAAACATATTTTGATTTAACACATTACCTAACATAGTATTGGCATTCTATAAAAAATCCTGGGAAATCTATAGATTTCCTTGGCATAATATAAAATAACATTCAAATTTAATACATTGCCAAATAGTTCAAGGAATTATATAGAATACTTATATTCAACACTTTTCCGATGACATATATTAATTATATAGACACGAGCGCGTCGTCTTGTAAAAATACAATGCATATACGACCCGATTTTAATTATTAGTGCACTCAAAATAATGATACCGATACGTATATAGGTAACAAAACTTTTAATTCGACGCGTATAATATTATTATCAAACTAATTAATGTTTTTACCGTAGAATATAATAGACATGCGGTTGTTATGTTTAAAACAACTTGTTTTAAACTTTTTGTTCGTTGTTTAAAACGAATAAAACCTACGTTTAAAACAGTGTAAACTCCAAGGGAATATTGTTTTTTTTTTTTTTTGGTTTATTAATTTTGGTTCATAAATAATAATAAATATCCTTCGTAAAAAAGTTAAAGTATTAAATAACTATATCTATTACCATCCTTCATTTTGATTATTTTTTTAAAATTGTATTGGATAAATTACCAAATTTAAAATGTTTTTACTTAATTGTTTATAATATACATAGTACATAATATAATGTCCACATATAACATCCATTCAGAAAATATTTAAAATACATTTCAAATACTTTTAAGATTTAAAATAAGTAATAAATAAACATTGAAACATATTATACTAGTACACGGTATATTATGGTATATAAGTAAATTACATATTAATTTAAAATTAAGTTATTTTAAATATATTGTTTAAAACATCGTCTTTAACATGAAAAAATAGTTTAAAACAAAAAATACAGTTTTTTTCAAAAATGAAAAAGTATGCCAACTCTGAATTGATAGATGAGACAGTCTCCTCTGGGATCTGGTCTCAAAGGTCCGGTGCAATAATACCAGATATCTCCACTTTTTGAAATTGTTCAGGATAAGCAAAACAAAATCCTTTACCTCATATAGGTATCACTATATTGGCGAGAAATTATTTATTTTCTAATGTCTTTGGAAATAATAAACCTATTTTTCTGATTTTTCTACCAAAATATAGATATTAATTCTTCCATGAACAATATTCTATGAAAAACTCATTTTTTATAAAAAGTGGAGATATCTTGTTATTGCACCTGTTATGGTTTTCACATTTCAAAGGTGATTTTATTACATTGTGCTTATATGTAAAGTACTATATCGTATATACAGGGGCGAAAGAAAAATCTTCTGAAAATCAGTTTAAGTTTTAGTATTCAACATTTTGTTCGATGATTAACGGCCGCGAGAAGTAGGATAATATATTTTATGGTGTCGTGTCGTCAAACTATACGTATAGAGGTTCCTCGTAATATCTTACGAGCAGCAGGTGTGCAGGACTAACACCGCGGATGGCCTAAAAACTCGGTAGCTAGTAATCCTGTAATATATACCTATATAATATAATGTATTTGTGTGCGTGTGTTATATTCAACCGTGGTATATGGATTTATACCTATTATAATATATTATTAACGCTATTTGCACTTCGGTCCCCGTGGTCCTTTTTACTGCGCGCCAAGAAAAAAAACCATTAAAAAGGCATTACCGGAGAAGGTAATATTAAAATTAAACACCTTCGAATTTTATGCTTCACGTGTACTGCGTATTAAATATAATAACAATATAACAACACCGCACAGCGTTACCGACCGGACTCCAAAAATTTTCTAACGAGTTTTATTTGTGTCGCCGTATAACGTGTACTACATAATATAGGTGTGTTTGTGTGTAATGCACTGTTGGGTAAGTTACTATTAAATTTAATTAAAAGAGGGTTGAATTAAAAATGTTTTTTTTCTTCAAAGAATTGATAAAAATGTATTACGTTAACATTAAATGTTACAACTGTATTATTATATTACAATAATTAACGAAGTTACTCTTGCGTTAGGTACTATTATTTAAAATAATATTTAACGAAGTTACCTGAACGTTATACGAAAAAGTAACCAAATATAGTGCGTCCAAACACTGGTGTAATCATATAGACTTTTGCCCCGAGGACTGGGAGGCGTGTTCGTGCCAAACGGATTAAGAGAGATAGGGTGAGTTTTATCACAATTGTGAGAGAAATGCACATTCGATTAAAGATTCTCGTAACAAGCTCCACCTACTTGCACGCTTTATCATACCTTATGTTTCCGTCTATTTCTATAAGTCTACGAGTATAATGTGGATCATACCGATATTATAAGAATGGATAGGACACGCCTATACTGGCTTCTTTAAGAGATTGCGGTATTTTTTGGGGAAGAGAGAAAGTTCAATATCTACGAGAGAAATAGACTATAAGAGGCCTTTTTTGAAATTAGGTTAAATAATAAATTATCCATATGATGGAACCCTTATAACATCAAAAACTGTATCACTAGTCTGATGTCCTACTCCTATCCATTCTTATAATATCTATACGAGACGAATGAAATAATTTCAACTTTATTGGCGTGCCGTAGGTGAGAGCTCAACGCATTCGCAGTATTTTCGTTTAGAATTTAGATGTCAAAACGATCGAATCGTCGTCGTACATACATAATAATATTATAATATAAACGCTATTGAGTAGATTTTCGAAATAATTCACATATTATATACGCAGGCATTATTTTAATTTAATAATAATATTATTTTACAGACCGACGATGCCGAGTGGCTCAAATATACATAATATAGGTACCTCGTATACCGGCTATACCTACCTTTACTAAGAAACAATGTACTACACAAGTACGCACTTAATATTCATGAACTGCGCATCGATAAGCGTTCGTCGTCATCGCCGAGAGTAGTGGCCAGTCGGGAGGTCCGTTACATTAGCACCACCAAATTTGAAATTCCAAAAAAAAATTATACCAACGATTGTTATTCCATTTGTACACATTTGTAATCCTAATATAAACATTTGTACACCACCCCAAATACCCAAAAAAACGAAATTTCCGTGGTGGTGCTAATGTAACGTTACACCAGCACCCCACTTTTTGTACAATCGAGTTATCAGCCCCAAAATGGTACCAACGATTGTTATTCCATTTGTACACATTTGTAATCCTAATATAAACATTTGTACACCTCCTCAAATGCCCCAAAAAACCTAATTTCCGTGGTGGTGCTAATGTAACGTTACACCAGCACCCCACTTTTTGTACATTGGACTTAGGGGCTCCAAAATGGTACCAACGATTGTTATTTCATTTGTACACATTTGTAATCCTAATATAAACATTTGTACACCTCCTCAAATGCCCCAAAAAACGAAATTTCCGTGGTGGTGCTAATGTAACGTTACACCAGCACCCCACTTTTTGTACAATCGAGTTATCAGCCCCAAAATGGTACCAACGATTGTTATTCCATTTGTACACATTTGTAATCCTAATATAAACATTTGTACACCTCCTCAAATGCCCCAAAAAACCTAATTTCCGTGGTGGTGCTAATGTAACGTTACACCAGCACCCCACTTTTTGTACATTGGACTTAGGGGCTCCAAAATGGTACCAACGATTGTTATTTCATTTGTACACATTTGTAATCCTAATATAAACATTTGTACACCTCCTCAAATGCCCCAAAAAACGAAATTTCCGTGGTGGTGCTAATGTAACGTTACACCAGCACCCCACTTTTTGTACAATCGAGTTATCAGCCCCAAAATGGTACCAACGATTGTTATTCCATTTGTACACATTTGTAATCTTAATATAAACATTTGTACACCTCCTCAAATGCCCCAAAAAACCTAATTTCCGTGGTGGTGCTAATGTAACGTTACACCAGCACCCCACTTTTTGTACATTGGACTTAGGGGCTCCAAAATGGTACCAACGATTGTTATTTCATTTGTACACATTTGTAATCCTAATATAAACATTTGTACACCTCCTCAAATGCCCCAAAAAACCTAATTTCCGTGGTGGTGCTAATGTAACGTTACACCAGCACCCCACTTTTTGTACATTGGTCTTAGGGGCCCCAAAATGGTACCAACGATTGTTATTCCATTTGTACACATTTGTAATCCTAATATAAACATTTGTACACCACCCCAAATAGCCGAAAAAACGAAATTTCCGTGGTGGTGCTAATGTAACGTTACACCAGCACCCCACTTTTTGTACAATCGAGTTATCAGCCCCAAAATGGTACCAACGATTGTTATTCCATTTGTACACATTTGTAATCCTAATATAAACATTTGTACACCTCCTCAAATGCCCTAAAAAACCTAATTTCCGTGGTAGTGCTAATGTAACGTTACACCAGCACCCCACTTTTTGTACAATCGAGTTATCAGCCCCAAAATGATACCAACGATTGTTATTTCATTTGTACACATTTTTAATCCTAATATAAACATTTGTACACCACCCCAAATACCCAAAAAAACGAAATTTCTGTGGTGGTGCTAATGTAACGTTACACCAGCACCCCACTTTTTGTACAATCGAGTTATCAGCCCCAAAATGGTACCAACGATTGTTATTCCATTTGTACACATTTGTAATCCTAATATAAACATTTGTACACCTCCTGAAATGCCCCAAAAAACCTAATTTCCGTGGTGGTGCTAATGTAACGTTACACAAGCACCCCACTTTTTGTACATTGGACTTAGGGGCCCCAAAATGGTACCAGCGATTGTTATTCCATTTGTACACATTTGTAATCTTAATATATTTATCATACACTGGAAATTGGTACTGTATGTCTGTCTGCTCAGTATATATATATTATACTTATATTTATTCATTAATAAACTTTTGATACAAAATAAACCTTCCAGATTTGCTTCCCTTAATAAATTACTAAACCAAGAATCCAATAGCATGTCAAGCATTAATAAAAATTACTAATTGTTATTTAAACATTT